CCCTTTTTGCTCCCGAGTCCCATTCAGTGGCATCTCCTTTGTGCCGGCCGGAGAATTCCAGGGAATGCCGGAGACACGTCCTCCCGTCCATTTGCCTAATTTCAATCTCTAAAGCAATTCCCCAATGGCATTTCACTTGGATTTATGTGAATTAAACAGCCTCTCACTCTCTTTCGTTCCGTTCCGTTCCGCCTTTGAGCCAATACGAATCCACATCCAAATCCCTGGTAGCCGTAAATGTCAACATCCATTAGAGACCTCAAACCGTTAGTGGCATTTGTCGCACGCTATGAGGCCGCAGCAGCATGAGCAGCAGCCGCAGTGGCAGTGGCAGGCAGTCGGAGGCACTCAGGGGCAGTCGGAGACAGTCACAACAAGAGGCCAACAGCTCGGGGCATGATTGAGTGCCTGCTTCTTGGAATCAAATCGAAATCAGCATTGGCCTGATATGAGAATTGGGACTGTGATCTGTTGTGATTGTTGTGTGTGGGTACCCCTGCCCTGCCCCGTGAAAAGGGGTTCCACAGTACCCCCTTTGGACTGCGTCGTGTTGGGCCGTAAACCATAGAAATATTCTCGTAAATATTAGTTAGTATTAGTTATTAAGCGAAGCCGACCTTCACAGGAGATGACCGAGCAACAAACCGGTGCGACAGGCCAAAGCACGCGTTATGGCCATTATCTGGTTAATTATGTGGCCAGCAGCTTATTCTCTCTCTCTCTCTCTCTTTCTCTATGGGAAGTTGTGCAGTCGAAACAAAAGACTTTGGCAACAAACTTGCCATCAACCAGCAGCTAGCAGCCAACAGCTCTGTGACCATAAAGCACTTTAAAAATTCAATGAACCCCAAGCGAGAGCGGCATAGTTGGGTATACTTAGAAGTTGTGTCGACTATAAGATGCTCTTTAGCATATTTTATTTAATTAATACATTCCTATGTGATGCTAAATATAGGTTATAGATTATTATGACTACCAAAGAGAAGGTAGAAGGAAAGAGGTCAAATCTAGAAGGCAAGGACAAAAACATTTATGAAAACTCAGATAAATATGGGAGAATGGTTTAAATGGTTTAATATTCCAAGGGAACCAACTACCCTTTGGATATATGATATAGATTAGAGAGAAAATATTGGAATATTTTTGGACTAAAATTAATTTAAAATTGGTATTTGTTTTTCCTTCGCTTGTTTAGGCTTCTTCATAGATTTCTCTTATCTCTTTAAGCATTTTCCATATTTTTCGAAGCACCATTGTATAGGAAATATGCCCTGAATCCGCTGAGAGTGCATTCAAAAAAGAAAACCAAAAAATACAAGTTTCATATCGAAGTTTTATGATCGAAACACCAAAAAAAAGGGGAAAAAAATGAGTAAGAGAAACAAAAAGAGCAAATCAAAAGCGAACCCATGGCGTCGGTGGGAATGGTGGGAAGCCAAGTGGTGCCCCAACAGCCACCAAAGGGGGAAGAGGACTCCGGCGAGGGATGGCAAAGGCAAAGGCAAAGGCCCAGCCAGTTGGCCAAGAGAAGCAGCAGCCATGTTAACAACTTCCATTAAAAGAAATTAAAAGCAGACGGAGATGTCGGCTGGAAGAGGACGCGCCATGGCGCACAAGCACAGAAAATGGCGTACCATTTGCCCCTGCCTGGCCCTGAATCTGCCAGTGGAATCCCTGGCTATACTTAGATGGATGTGGCAGGCATTCCCCAGTTTGTTGGCCAGCGAATCGTCTGGACATTTCCGGTTCTATTGGTCTACTGGTGGCACTACAGGTTGCCATTAAAATTCAATTTCGGTTTTTTAACGTACACACTAAAGAGCTGTCGTCCCATTAATATTCACATAAATCAATGGCCGGGCCCCTGGACCAAATCTAATTACAGAAACTAATCTTTGCCCTTTTATCTTCTTCTTTTTTTTTTGGTTATTTTATTGTATTTACGAAAGAGCGCGGATCTATATGATCATGATTATGATGCTCCCCATCTCACTCTCTCTCTCTCTCTCTTTCTATCTGTTTGTCTCTCGCTCTGTGTGTGTATTTTCCTGAGAGTTTTTTCAAGATACTTTTTGATCGGGTGGTGTTGGTGTTGGGCCTCTGTCGATGCCATTTATTCATGCTCATTAAGTGCTGGTGCGATTGTTGTCTGGGCCCCGGGATGATCGGTCTCCTCTCCCGTTCACGTCGTCTCGTCTCACGTTGTCTCTGCCGTTGTTCACGGTGTGTTCATTCACAAATGAGCGCCTTAAGCAGCTCCGCCCCATATACACACACAGATACACAGATACGCACACACACTGTGCCACATAATGAGTTGCCGCAATACAAAGAAGCTGGAAATTTATGTGGCAGCCACATAGACACACAGACACTCTCGAACTCTCTCACACACACACAGCACTCTGCAGACTCCAGCTTCTTTGTGGTATGGTTGTTGCTGCTTGGCTGCTCTTACCGCTGCCACTGCCCCTGCCCCTGCCTTTGCCCCTACCCCTGACACCAGCAGCCTCTGGCCCTGGCCGGGCACAGCCCCCGCCTCGGAGCCAGCTTCTTCATCTTTAATTTGGTTCCGTGTATCTTGTTGATGGCGTTTTGCCTTCTCTTATATCTTTGCCGCCGTTCCAAGCGTTCATTGCTATTGAATGTTGTTCCTTTTCTTTTCTTTTCTTTTCTTTTATCGTTCTCTTTCTTTTCGTTTTTTGTTGAAATTATGCTACGCCTGGCATTCCTCTGGTGGCTGGTGGCCCCAAAATGGGGAGGGCAGATCCCATAATGGTCGCCACATCGATGGGCTAGCCGATCAAGTTCCGTTACAGGTGCACTTTGAGATACAGATACAGATCATGAACCAGGGTCTGGATTCCCTTTGTTCTGCTGTATCATCTAGGGGGAGTCTGTCTCTCTGTCCGTCCGTTTGGCAGGTGACAATTCCTTGGACAAATAGGGCAAGCGTGTTCCTCTGTTCGCGCTTATAAGTGACACAGTCAATACTCAAGCATCACCACGCAGCAGCAGCACTCAAGTGCAACCGCAAAAAGCCCCAACAAAAGACTACAGGTGGGGGCGGGAGAATAGTTGTAGTCTGCGGACCCGAGTTCAAAAGGTGCGAGAAATCCCTGCAAAGTAGAATATGGGAAAGCAAAAGTCGAACCAGAGAAACAGCTCATGCGAATGTTAATCAAGTAAGAGCGATATATAGACGATATTTTGGACTAGAAGATACCTGGGAATCTTGGAGACTATTTTAATAGAATTTTCTAGAAAGATCTGCAGCCAGAAATTGGATGCTGTAGCTCTTAAAGGGTCCATGGATTCAGATCTTTATAGACATACCCACTCGCTTATCAGATATATATACTCTTTTCTAGGTACAAATCATTACACAAGCAATTATGAACACAATATACCCCTGTGCTCTATGAATACCGTGTATAATTAGCAAAAATCAACAACAGATGCAAAGATACATCTGGCGAGTGAGACCCGAGCGTATAGCAAATTTACTGACCATTTGTCGAGCCCACTATAAAGGCGGTTCCGTTGAAAAATCAATCAATTTGCAAATGCATACATACATCGTTTTTAAAAATAATTTGCTGTTTGTCCAATCTGTTATGGGGGGGTATAGCTTTAGTCTGTCACTATGTACATATATTTATAAATGTATGTATGTAGTATATAACGATGCGTCAAACGGAAACTGTACCGATTAGATGTACCGATTTGTTCAGCCATTTATTGGACTGCTTATAATTAGGTATATTGATTGCTAGACATCCTGTGGTCATATCTAATCGAAAGATTCCGACTTCCGAGCGTTGACATTTAATGAGTCATTAAGATGACATAATCGGGAGGACAGTAGCTAGAATTTTCTGCAAGTTTCTCCAAGAGCAAAACCAAAGAAAACCATAACCAAAACCAGAAACTTCTCCAAACGGAAGTGGTTGTGCAGTGGCGTCCGAGGGGGAAGAGCAGCTACCAACGAAATGCTGTAATGACAAAGTGAGGAGCAGCAGCATTGAACATATATATATATATACATACATATATACCGTATACTGCCATATACTGGAGGAAGAGGTGGCGTGGCTGCTGCAGGAGCCACAGATGATCAAGAGGAGCAAGAGGAGAAGACAGCGGGGCCACACAATACACAAAAAACCGGAACATTATTAATTTACAAGCAATAAACCGAAACCGAACAACAAAACGAAGAAAGCCAACGGAAAAATGTGAACAATGAGCAAAAAAAAAAAGAAGAAAGAAACAGAAACAGGGAAAGAAGGAGAGCAGGAGAGCAGAAGAGCGGTAGTATGAGCCAGGCCAAAACCAGAGACAGAGCAGAGGCGGCAGCTAACAAGCCACAAGAGTCGAGAGTCAATAGTGCAAGTGTTAAGAGAAATTGCAGCCGAAGATGTGGCTGAGGATGAGGATGCGCCATGGGTGTATTGGATATGGAGATGGCTCCGATTGTTCCTCCATATAACGCACACCAATGCGGCCAATTGGCAACACCATCACACACACACACACACACAAAAGAGCCCATCCATGGCCACAATGAACCATCATCCAACATCTGTTGCCCCCCCTCTAGCGACTTAGCATCGGCAGAGAGTACATAAGGCCCGAAAGCCTATCACCCATACATAAGTATCGCTCTGTATGTGCGTGTGTGTGTGTGTGCTGTCCTGTATGGTTGTCTCGCTTGCACTTGGGCCGTGTGAGAGCCAGCATAAAAATGAACACCAGAGAGCCACGATCGTGGGCCTGTTACCAATGAAGCGAGCCACCAACACAGCCACAAGCGGAATGAACCGCTGCGATGAATGTGTGTATCTGTGTGCACGCAGCGACTGGAAAGGCGACTGCGGCGGCGGCGGCGGCGGCGGCCTAGGGTTCTTGAAAGCACCCTCGTCCGTCGTACTCGTACTCTACGCGCACTCCGATTCCGATATACCCGCTCGCACGTACGCTGGCTCTTCGTGCGCTCGGAAATGTCATTTGTCAATCACAGTGCGAGCGCAACGGTTGTCCGAGAGAGAGCTGCCAGCCGCTGTTAATGCCCAACGCTGCTAACACGGCTAACACTGCTAAACAGTTAACACTCAGTCGACTCACGATTTGAGGAAGTACGATTGCCAGATTACCCGAATACCCGATTACCAGGTTGTGCAAATTGGGCAAACCCCCGGAATCCGAATCCGAGTCCGAATCTGAATCTGAAACCGAATCCCAAGCCGCTAAATGCCAGCAGTCGTCGTTCGAAAATAGCCGTTAAAAGAAAAACCCAGCAGTCCCGTCTGCGGAGTCTCAGTGTGTCTCAGTGTGCCAAAAGTGAAGTGCTAAACAACCAAAACCAAAAATCGAAAAGAGAAACAGCAGATTACACACAGAATTAAAAGCAAACACAAATATCAATAATGGATAACCACAACGAAGTGCCAATGTCCATGTCCGCGCCCTGGGCCAGCGCCGCCCGTGTCACCTGCCTTTCCCTAGATGCCAAATGCCACAGACCATGTCCCAGCTCGATCTCTGCCTCCGCCTCAGCCTCGGGTTGCGCCTCTGACTCTGCCGCCATCGCCACCACAAAGTTGCGCCACATTGCGTATACGCAGCGTTGCAGCAGCAGGTTGACCATGCTGATGACCGTGCTGCTGCTGCTGCTGCCGCTGAGCTTTACGCCGGCGCACAGCTGCGGCCCCGGCCGGGGTCTGGGACGTCGCCGGGAGCGCAACCTCTATCCGCTGGTGCTCAAGCAAACCATACCAAATTTATCCGAATACCAGAGCGGTGCCTCCGGGCCGCTCGAGGGCGAAATCAAACGCGATTCACCAAAATTCAAGGATCTTGTACCAAACTACAATCGGGATATTCTATTCCGGGACGAGGAGGGCACCGGCGCCGATCGCCTGATGACAAAGGTAAGTCCATTCATGCGATACTATAGCTTTCATTGATTGATCGATCGTCCCTGGGATTCCCTTCCCATTGAAGACGTGGGGGCTAGGCTAGGCTAATTCCCCACCAATTGCGCACTGCTCTGCTATACCATCCAAAAACGCACTACATTGTCGCGCGAGCCGCCTAGCGTACTTATCAGCGATCGGCCGATCGTGTAAGATTATGATTGTACCCCCTCCAAAATCACCATTGATAACCGCTACGTGTGTACCCCCGTACGCCCGAAACTTGCAATTCATCGGCGCATTGGCTATTTATATAATTTATGGGCCTATACGATCTAATGAGAGTGCGAGTGCGACTGCGAGTGCGTGTGCGTGTGAGGGCCATAAAATGTGGCGAAATGCTCATATTAGTAGATGGATCGACAATTATGATTAATTATGCATCTTATCGGGGCAACTGCAATTATTTTCGCGAGTGCAAAAACAGGAAGACCGATACTCGAAAGCCAGGGCAACTCCAGATAACCAAGGAATTCGCCAGAACTAAGCCATAAAGCCACAACGGCACAATTTCCTCTTGACCGATCCGATGCGAATCTAAACAAACAAGAGTGCGTTCAACAACCTCTGCTGTCGATCCGTCCTCCAATTGATCCGGCCAATCATCATAAATCGTTCCATTCCAGCTACGCCACGAATGCGTTTTCGATTTCGCTATAAACAACAAACAATGTTGAATATGATCGATTAAGGGGACGCTCGATGGCTCCTCCTGACCAGCCGACCTCCCTGCCCCAACACTGCTCCTTCTCCTCCTGCTGTCTAGCGAGGCACGCGAGCATTTGCCGCTTATCTGAGGCGTTTGTCTGATAAGAGTCTCACCTGGGAGCAAACTGCAGCCGAGTGCCAAGTAGCTTGTAGCCGTTGACACCCACACCCACATCGTGTACGGTTATTTGCAAACACATGTAGCTACATGTGTACGATTATGAGTACTTGAAAAACCATAGAAAGAGCGACAGAGATACCCTGGGGGAACCATCGTTTCTCAGATGCACAACAGTTTCGTACAAGGACTTGTATGCAGGTTAATCCCTCCTGTGGCTATGGCCAAGATCAAGCAATCCGACCAAAAGCATTAAGGATTCATTGCAAACATCTGATATAAAATATGATAACTTTTTATAGGGTGTGCAAGACACCAGCAAACACAAAAAATTATGGCAAAAAATAACTTTTGAGCTCGCAAATTATCTTATCAGTCACGAATGGGGGTAGCAAAGCAGCGGTAGGTGGTAGGTGGTAGGTGGGTGACTCAGGGAATGGCTTCGGCTGTTTTTGAAAGTGTAAAACGGCTTAAGTAAGAGCCAGCCCCAGCAGTTCTAATTAGCCGACAGTTGTTCTGCTTTCCACACGGGCATTATTGCCTTAATGTAAGGCCACTTTGGCGTCACGGGCGCCACAGTCCACATAATTTGAGAGCACTCCATCAGCAACACAAACAGTACTTTATCTTTATATGGCATATAGATTGAGATTTCCTGGAACAGTTGATTTAAGATTATAATTTAACACCCATTTTATAATTATTGCACATTATTATACAAATAAAATGGGAATCCAGAAATAGCCCAGACATTTCAAGATTTCCTGCGTAGATCTCTCTATTTTCGGAATGCATACTGTAGGTACTCTAGCCAATTTGGCAAAACAGTTCTTGCTCGGGTCTGGACTTCACCTACTTATCCCAAATGGCAGTTGCCTCTGCCACGCGCCCCTCGGGGGACGAACGGCCATTAAACGGCTGGCAAAAACAGTTGGCTTCAAGCCTTACCTTGAATTTGATATGCAATCGGCGGGGCCCAAAAGTATTGAAGCGTTTCCAGAAACGGAGCTGAGAAACAATTAACAGTTGCACTGCACGGCAGCCACGGAGGCAGCGACCCGGTGACACCGGGCCATTGTCTCCGGCAGTCAAGGACGCGCCGATGGGCCAAGGCCAACCCAGCATTTGACTGGAATGGCCAAGGACATCCAAGACGGAACGGGCACGCATAAAATTCCCGTTGTGGCAGGGCAAATATTTACAACGGGCCACCGTTCCGCTCTCTGCTACCGAACTCTCTCTTCTGTCTCTTCGTGACATTGAGAATTGGTAACAGAGCCATAGAGAGAGAGAGAGAGAGAGAATAGAGGTTGCTGAGGAGGAGAGGGTGAGTGCAACCAGCAGCGCAACTAAATTGTATTTTATGTGGAACGACTGCGGATTCCAATTTGGATATACTCGTATTCGAACATAAACGGAATATACGAGCCGACCCGGTGCTGTGCGTGAATTTCAGTTGGCGAACAATTCGTTTCGTTTTGGCCATTACGCAGTGCCTGGCCTGGGCTATGGTGTGTGGGTGGTTGCATAAACAAATTGCAAAAATTCACAAATTGCCATAAAGTACTAAAAATAAAACAACGAGGAAATCTGGCAAAACAGCAGCCAATAAACTGCTCAAACTTGTGACAAGTCATTGCTCCCCCCAACCACCAACCACCAACCACCAGACCCCCCAACCCCAACCCTAGCCTCACTCAGATACGGAGTGGCGTTGTAACTCCCGGTAATTACAGGTAATGTGTTCAGTATGTATGTATTGAGTATGTGGCATGCCTCGGGATTAGACAAGCAACAGAAACCGCAGGGAGGGACCGCCACCGCCATCAGGGGCAACCGACAGACAAAAGAATGCGTCAAAAGCCGCAGCATAAGTTCTAAAATTTCATAAATTGTAGCAACAATGGGGCCTGAGGGCAAAGCCAATGGGTAATCCGATATGATTATTGACATGCATGCAGTCCACCAGTTTCCCAGTTTCCCAGTTCTCCACAGACCTCCTCCAGTGGTGCCTCCAGACGACATGCACATCAACATCAACATCAAATCAACTCAAATCAAATCAAAGTAAGCCCACAGCTAAGGCATTTTAATAGAACATTATGACTCAAAAATTGATCCTATTATGACCAAAAAAAAAAAACAAACGAGAGGGAGAACAGAGAGAGAGAGAGAGAGAGAGATCGTGTGGGGGAGCATCCATCGATGATGTCAGAGTCTCAGTTTCATTTTCAACTCAAATCAAATCACGTCAAATGCTGCGATAAGCAAAACTTTGGCATATTTCGTGGGAACATTCCTCCACTCCATCCCATGCCATCTACCATATCCCACAAAGTAATCAAACTTATCAAACAAACATCAGTCAAAGGCAAAGTGGACAAATTGCCAAATGGCCTGCTGCTGGGTCCCCAAGACACTGCCCTGGCTGTCCCCCATATCCCTTCGGCTGGATCGTATCTATAGTGTTTGTATTTGGTTTTTTGGTGCTGCGAGGCTTTTATATTATTATTAATCAATTTGATACTTTTACGAGGGCACTCAAGCGCAAATGTTCAAGGATTTGCTTGGCCCCAAAATGCCATCGATATTTGCTTTGGCTCTCGGGCTCTGGGTCTCTCGTGTTTGGTCTTAGCTTTTGCTTTATTTGCATAAAACTTTTATGAACTTGCTTGCTGGCGGAGAATGGGATAAAGATGGAGCTGGAGCTGGAGCTGGAGATGGAGATCAGCGATCGCGTCGCGGCTATCACATTACTGCCGCGAGAGTGACTCACATTTCACATGCTGTTCGCTCTCTCTCTGTCTCTCTCTCTCTCTCTGTGTCTCTGTGATTCTTGCCAGTCATGGTAGAGGGGCACTGGGTCGGGGGATCCACATCCCCATCCCCCATCAGTGCCAATGTGCGGCTCATAACTCATCATCAAAGTTAATCACACATCAGGGATTATGGCGCTTATCATTTAAGACCCGGTCCCGGGCTCTTACCTGCTGCTGCTGCCTCCTCCAAATGACTTTTGCTGATCCTCTCTCTGCCTTGTCTCTCTCTGTGTGGGGGACATTAAATGTGGCAGGGTGCAGTGTGATGCAGGTGGCGGGGAATAGGCCTCAACTGAGATTTAATTTACGATTTCTGCAAATTAATAGCATTTAATTAATAACAATAAAATGACGCCTTTGCTTTTATGGACATTTATTTGACATGAGATTTACGAGCGATTTACGAGCCAGTGTGTGTGTGTGTGTGTGTGTGTGCGGCGGGGGAAGCCCCCCATACCCGGCCCTATGCAATTCTGAGATCAAAATAATGCATTTCCTAATGATTAAGCGGAAGAGCAGTCATGTCATTGATTGAGAATTCCCAGTGCCCCCCCGTCAAAACAGAAGCGTTCGGACATTAATCCAATAAGCCAGTGCAAAAGGCTTCCTTCCCTTTTTTTTTTAATCATTCCCCATTTATATGGACAGCTAAAAGGCAAACAAACAGACAGGAACGTGGAGCGTGGAGCGGATACCCAGATTCCAGACTGCAGATGGGGACTGGGGACTGGGGCTCGGAGCGGAGGTTCCTCAGAGTTACGTATACGTAAACAATAAATAAATTACCCGCAAGAGTCAGTCCCATTTTCTGATTAATTAAAACTTCAGTTTTTCGATTTTCAATTTTGAATTCTGTCGATTTTTTTTTTCTGCGCGCTGTAATAATTGCGCTGCCATCGCATAAACAATCAAAGAACCGCCGATGGTATATGGGACTGGAGCTGTGAATAGATTTGCAACACAAATAAACAGAAATGGTCTAATGGATAATGGAGCGGCGGATTGGCATTGGCCCTGCACTTGAATCAATCAGAGTATCTCCATCTCTATACCACCCTCCACCCTCCAGCCTCCATCCTCCATCCTCCTCCTTGGTGGCGCACAGTTTGCCAATTAAGTGAGGAAATCTGTGCTCGAGTGGTGGGCCACACAGAGCGGGGCGCTGACTGACGAGATAGAGAGAGAGAGAGAGAGAGAGAGAGAGAGAGAGAGCGAAACTCTTTATGTTTTTGTGCCCCCTAAGTGGCTAATACCCGGGCCACAGGGTCCCTCAAGTGGGCAACGCAGTTCATCCTCCATCCCTCCATTCCTCCGTACCCATCCGACATCCTCAGTCGATTCTCCTTCTCCTTGTTCGGGGGCTGTTGACACACATATGTATATAGTAGTGTATCGAGTGGGTGACGTGATTTCTTGGGTATACCTTCCTTTTTTCAGTGCTCTTTTGATTATATCCTGTGTCGTTGGCCTAGCTGCTTCCTCAGTTGTAAGTTTTCGCTTCCTTTGCGCTTCCTTCGATCGCAATCAGTGCACCGGCCAAGCCGAAGGAGAGGGAGGAGTAGAATCAAAGGATATGCCATATCTGCTTACACCATAGAGCACGTGCAACATGCATCTCTCTCATCAGAAAAAAGGGGTGACACACACCGACTCCTGGGCCCTGGGCCCTGGGCCCTGGGCACTCCTTGGAGTACCCCTCTCTTCTCTGTACCTCTACCGAAACGTAACTTAATGCGCACTTGAATTATGTCGTTAAATTGTGTCGTTTCCTAATCGGTTTCCCGGGGCCACAAGTAATCCGAAACGGGCCCCAGTCCCCCAGTGGACGGGTACGCAGGAGTTGGCAAAAACAAACAAAGGATTGGCTGGAAGAAGTCGCCTCCGAGTGCGACTCCCAGCTAATAGCCAGGCTTGGAGACTTGGCGCTGGAGTTGGAGTTGGAGATGCAGTTGACTTGGCCTAATGATGATGAGTGCCTAATAATCTTCGTGCCATAATAATTTTGCCAGACCATTAAAAGCGTCAAATTGGCAGCCAGCCAGACAATTTAAATCAATAAAACTGCAGTCGACGGCAATTAAAAACGCATCAAGCGGATAGCCATAGCCATAGCCCCAACACAAACCAAAGCTGTACACAAATATACAAGATATATATATACACTCGTACAAGATAGAGCCAAGACCAAAAAAACTAAAGACACGCCAGGCTATAACAAAGTCAAATGCAGGGCGTGTCCCTGGGGCCCTTGGGTGGGGGAGCGGGGTATTCGGAATGGGGCTGAGCAAAGTTCACACCTTGTTGGATGTCTAATTAATGCAGCTTTCGGGAGTGGGGGGATCCTACACTGGATCCATACACCCCAGTGCATAGGCCTATTTACACTTGACGCTGTTGTCTAACGGCCACTTACAATGCACACACATTATTTAGCCATCTTTTTGGGCCGCCGCCGCCGACGACGGCCAGGCCCAGTCGATTCTGTCGGCAAATGTTTACCTTACGCACCCGTCGGCATTCACTGGGATCGAACAACAGTCCCCAGGTGATCACTGGGATCGGGAATCGGGGATCGGAAGATCTGAGATCTGAGATCTGAGATCTGGCCGTTGTTTGTTCATTGCGCGTCGATTCGAATTCGGACTCAATGCATTAGCATGTTGGGCAAACATCGTTGTCTCGATGCTTAAGACAAAAGCGTTTGCTCTCCCATACCCCTCTCCTTGCCCCCCCTCTTAGGCTCTCTCGGGTCTCGTGTTTGCTCTTTGGCGTTACGCTTTTGTGCTCATTAGCACAGTGTCTGCCTCTCGACTGGTTAAGCCTTTTAATAAAGCAAAGTTTCAGCAGCAGACCCCCAGAGACAGTCCCAGTTCCAGTCCCCGTTCTAGTCCCCGGTCCCCGGTCCCCGTTCCACTACCAAGCAAATATCATTGAACTCTTCTTGGAATGCGCTGAATGCGGTTGTGCCACCACCTCAATTTGCCACAGTTTGCGGCTGTTGTGGTGGCCGCTGGTGGCCGCTGGTGGCTGCTGTGTGACAAATTCAAATATTCGTATTTTGGCCAAATAATAGCAAACACCGAAGCAAATACCGATACGGATCCACACCCGAAATCAAAACATAAGCCAGCCAAAAGGCAACAAACCGATTTCTGTTGTGGCTTGTTGAAAAGGATCTGGATCTGGTCGAAAATTGATTTTACGCTGGCTAACAAAAATTCTCTGTGTTTGCACACAAAGGCAACATCCTGTCACTGTCTTAAAGTCGAACCCCGAATCCCTGAATCCCGACTCGGAGTCGGAGTCCGTTGATAATTGATTTTTGTGGCTGGGCTCAATCTTAAAGATACTTTTTTTGGTGCGCTGTTGCTCAGGTTTTTTTCTTCTTTTTTTGATTCTCTTTAAATATTTGCATAGACTTATACGAATCCTTTTTTTGCTTGATTTGTGTGTGTGTTCTCCTCGTTTCGAGCTGTGTTAAAAAAATCAAATGAAAATGCGCCGACAAAACGACAGGGAAATGGGAAAAGCGATGATGAGGCTAGCACCCACCACATTGGCAAACAAAGCGTAAGCATTTTCATATTATCGACAGGAAGAACAAAGACCCACAACGACAACAACAACAACAACTGGCTGAAAGAAAAGGGAATAATAATAAAAAAGGTCTTCGGAATATCTTTAATATTTACCCAATGGCCCATGGTTTAGGGCTGGCGTGGGTTAAGGCTCAGGCCAAGGTTAAGGGTCAGTGTTTGAACTGCGCGTAAGCATGGGCAAATAAGCCTTTGGCCAGAAAGGGAACTGGGCAAACACTGCTCTTACTCCAGCTGTACCGAATGCTCTCTCGCTTGCTGGCCCTGTGTTTGTTGAGGTTGCAGCAACAGGTTCAAAGGATGCGCGGCCCCGGCCTGGCCGGGCACCGACAACGATGATGATGATGATAAAATAAATAGAAATCGGAATAAATATAGGGAATACGTGTACCGAGAGTCTCGGGGCTCAAAATGAACGCGTTGGGCCCTTCTGGACCTCCGCCAGAATGAACGCCCCGCCACCGCCACCGCCACAGCCATGCCACGCCTCGAATGCGTGCGTGAGAGAGTGCCCGAGCGATCGATCGCACACACGTACGCGCACTCTCTGCTCTCTACCCGTCTCTGTCTCTGTCTTCGGCTCTCCCTCTGGTTCGCCCTCTCTCTTTCTGCGATGTGGTGTGGTGTGGTGCGTGAATTAAACATGGCGTCTTATTATTAACAATACGAGTACTTAATTGATTTCCTTTCTCTCCTTCTCTCACTCTCTGCAGCGCTGCAAGGAAAAGCTGAATGTGTTGGCCTACTCCGTGATGAACGAGTGGCCCGGCGTCCGCCTGCTGGTCACCGAGAGCTGGGACGAGGACCACCAGCATGGCCAGGAGTCGCTGCACTACGAGGGCCGTGCCGTCACCATCGCCACCTCCGACCGGGAACCCTCCAGATACGGGATGCTGGCCCGCCTGGCCGTCGAGGCCGGCTTCGATTGGGTCTCCTATGTCAGTCGACGTCACATCTACTGCTCCGTCAAATCAGGTAAGAGATGCTTCCCACCCTTCTCGTATTGTAAAGTGAATGGCCAAGATGGGTGATGGGTGGGCTGGTGTGGAGCTGGTGCTGGGGCTGTGAGGGGGGCTAGTTAGCCAGAAGTGACACTAACAAGCGTAATTTCGCATGTTTGCCCCTTGCTGAACTTACAGCCGATCGCTAAGCTGACAGGCGTTGGCAAATTTCTTGTTTCATCCTGCACTGCGCTCCAACAAATTAGCCACGGCTGCAGTCCCAGGTCTTCCAGTCTCCAGCTTCAGTCCCACGAAGAAAACAAGACAGGAAGGCATCCGAAGCAATTGATACCCTACCAGATCGATTGCAGTCATCAAAATTGGAATTACTTTAGAAACGAACAAGTTTAGTCCTCGATTAGAATTCTTTCGGGTCTTTGGATCATTAGTTTCCAAAGCAGTTACATGGCATAATGTTCGATCTTTTGGCTGACATCTATCATAAGGAATCCTTATAGGTATTCCCAATTTATATCATTCCTTTTGAGCATCTGTAGCACATCATTAATGCCCTCCCTTCTGATAGAGTATAAAAATAAAATAAAAATGGGAAGCAGCCAAAGCAACAAAGTCCAAAACCGGACTCGAGCTCAAAGTCGGACGCGGGACTCTCTCGAAACTCGGATCGGATCGGATCGGGTCGGGTCTATAGTAAGAGAGGCGGCAACTCCGACTAACCGCATTGGGCTGTTTGTTGCTGCTGTTGTTGCCGGTTGTTGCCGGTTGTTGCCGGTTGTTGCCGGTGGTTGTTGGCTGTTGTTTTGACATGTTTAGGTTTGCGCCTGTCAAATTAAACGAATTGATGATACGACACCCAAAGCGTTTCTCAGGCAGCCAGGCAACGGTTGAACGAGGAGGAACCAGCGACCATCGGGCATCGAGCATCGAGCATCGAGCAGGCAAAGATGAATTAAATGCCGGGCTAAAACCTGAGCGCGGGCCTAATTGAAAAGCAAGAATACAGTGAACATTGAAGACTAAGAGACTGAGATTGGGACTGCGACTGGGACTGGGACTGAGGCTGTGGCTGGGAGATGGCCAACAAGTTAGCATCATCAGTTAAGAGAGTATAGGTAGAGCGTTGCTTGTGTGTGAGTGTGTGTGTTGAGCTGCCATTATGGCCAGCAACCAGTTTTCCCCGAAACATAACGAAACTGCCCCAAAGACCGACAGGAAAATGCAGCCAACCAAAACGGGCCAAGAAAATTAGGTTTTTCTTGCCAAAGATTTTCTCTCTCCCCCCCAGCCGGACCACCATTTCGCATTTCTTTCTCTCTCTCTCTCTCTCTCTCTCTCTCTCTATTCTCTTTTGAGAGATTTTCCCTTTTCAAGTTTCCGTTTTCCCACACACACATAGGGATACCCACACCCACACGGAGACACAAATTTATTGCGAGTAGTTCTGTTGTCGGTTGCTCGTTTAATTTCCATCTACAATTACATCATGCCACGCCCCATTCCCACACACGTCGCAGGCGTCGTCGCGTCACAATATTTTGACTTTGGTGGCGGCTCATAAAGATGAAAGGACCAACAAGCAGCAGAGGAAGAAAAGGAAACCATAGGCGATGCCCAGAGTGTCCTTGCTCATTGATTCTAATTGCTTATGAAAGGAGCCGCCGCACAGCCGCACAGCCGAACAGCACATCTTGCGGGGGTCCGGTCCTGGCAGCAGATCCTGCTGTCATTCTGGGCCCTTGTCTTGCCCACAAAATCAAAAGGTCAGCCGACAAACGACAAATGCCGAACAAGTGGCAAAAGGGCAGCCAGGATACACGAGGCGGCTGTGGCAGGCCATGGCCTGCCATGTGTGTGGTCCTGTCACCGTCACCTAAACTGCCCCTGCCCCTGCCGCTACCCCATCTGACCATGTGTGTGAGGCACACAAATGGTTGCGCCTCGAGGGGCAAGCTATCAATAAATTACGAGGCGATTGATTGCTGATAGGCCGCTGCACATAAACCACGAGCTTATGACAGTTTTGGCACAGCCTCATAGCACGGCCTAGGCTAGGCCTCGACTTCAGCTTCGGCTTCAATCTCTCTGGCTCTCAGCCTCTGGTGGAATCGGCTGCTTCGGCTTCACTCTCTCACAAGTTCGTTGCCTAAGTCTTTTGTATGTGGCCTAAACAGCAGCGGGCCACAGCGACGAAGAGTAATGGCTGTAAACCTTTTTGTCGACACTAATTTTTTTTTCCTTTTTCCCCATTGCTGTTGCTGTTTGGTGTTGCTGCTGTTGTTGTTGTTGCTGCTGTTGTTGTTGTTGCATGTGTCGCGCGCGCGCATTAAGGCCCCAAGCGTGCTGTTGTTGTGGCATGTTCATGTTAATGCTGTCCAAACGATCAGTCACCAAGCCAGAAAGACATACAGCCACACAGGCAACGAGAGACCACCGCCACCACCACCGCCACCGCCACCACCAACAAGTGGTCCGACGAGCGAGCGAGCAGGCGGCTGTCCTCTGTTTTGTAATAATTTATCAGTTTAGTCTTCACAACAAAGATAAAATAACGATAATTTTAACCACTTTAATGGTTTATTAATTTATGACCCTTCAAGTTCTTCACTTTCCACTCACCGCCGACGATGACGACGACGACGACGACGACGCCTGAGATTTTTCTCGTTTCCCTGTCTCCGTTTCGGTTTCTCTGTTTTTTTTTTTTTTGTTTTTAGTTTTTTCGGACGTTTTGGTTTGGTTTTCTGTTACTGGTTTTTTGGTGCTGTAGAACGAAGCAGCTCTTTAGGGGAAAAAGGTAGATTTCACACCAATTTTTCTTGTTACTACTGCCGCTTCCTTTCCTACTTGTGGCCTTTGTTTTCTCTGCACTCTACTGGGTCTCGGCTTTTGTGGCTGTCTTGTCTACTGTTCTTGGGCTCCCGTCCCGACCCCATCGATTATGGGTTTTATAGACCGCTGGTCTGCTCGCTGGCCATACACGAGTATGTATTTAATCCGATTTTTATTGTTTCTACACTTTTGTGTGTCCATCTGTCTGTCTGTCTGTCGATCTGTCTGTCGATCTGTTTACCGAATGCATCAATGGGAATTTGGAAAACTGGGAAGGTGCATTTTCATTGGAATTTGGTTGCAGCAGCAGCCACAGTCGCAGTGCAACAACAACAACCACTACAAAGCCACTTTATGGCCACTCATTATAATAAAGCGCACGGTTAGTGGTCGGCCTTTTGGTCTGGAATTTTTAATTTGAATTTTACAAGCAGCATTACGGGACAGAGGAGGCGCTTCGGGTGTGAAATATGTTGCCGCCCGCCGGAGGTGGAGTTGAAGGTGGAGAAAGTTCTAAAATGGCTGCTGCCCCGAGATATACATATCCCACAGCCATATAACCAACCATCTGGGTGGGCCGATTGTGCACCCTGTAACCCAATATCTATTAATGATGATTAATGTAGCGGTGGCGGTGTCGGTGTCGGTGTCGGTGTCGGTACTCGTACTCTTATTGTTTAGGTGGGTTGCCGCATGTTTGGTAATTGCGAACAGGTTGGCCAGAAACACAGAAACATCGCCAGTGGGCGATGCTATGGCTGGGAAAACAATCCAACAATCCTACCTAGCTACCTGGCAGCACATCCCTATTTATCCTTTTTGGCAGCTCCGAGTCGACGAAGGCCGTAAGCTGCTTTGGCTCGAGCGAGAGCCCCGGAGTTGGCTGATCCCACGGCTAATCTTGTAGGAAAAACAAGATCACAATTTTGCACACGACTGCTCTTCTCCGCTGCCGCTGCCGCTGCCTTTTGTGTGCGCGTTTGTTTTGCGGATGTTATTGATATGCCGGGTACTATATGTATATCTTTTGGCAGAGATCAGAGATCGAGGAGATCGAACAGATCGCATTAGGCTCTGGGCTCGTGTGTTCGTTCCCTGCTTGTTGGCAAGCCGCAAAAGGCATTCCAGTCCTTTCTGGGCCATTGTTTCGCTTGTACTGTTAGGCGGGTACTCTGGGCCAGCCCCGGCATTGCAGCCATTCAAAGGATCTGTGAAAACCTTTTTGACTTGTTGGGTTTGGCAATTGGATGCTTAACGCCAAATTAGATTAGGAAACTAATGCCATTACCTGGCTGCCCTACTGCCTACTGTATAACCATCTCTAACCACATCCTTTTCCCTCTCGCTCTACTTGCAGACTCCTCGATCAGCTCTCATGTGCACGGATGCTTCACGCCCGAGAGCACTGCGCTGCTGGAGAGTGGCATTACGAAACCGCTCAGCGAGATCGCCATCGGAGACCGCGTCCTGAGCATGGGCTCCAACGGGCAGCCCGTCTACAGCGAGGTCATCCTCTTCATGGACCGCAACCTGGAGCAGATGCAGAACTTCGTGGAGCTGCACACGGACGGCGGTGCCGTCCTGACCGTGACCCCCGCCCACCTGATCAGCGTGTGGCACCCGGAGCGCCAGCAGCTGGACTACGTCTTTGCCGATCGCGTGGAGGAGCTCAACTATGTGCTTGTCCGGGATCCGCAAACGGGCGAGCTGCGTCCCCAGCGGGTCGTTCGTGTGGGCAGTGTCCGGAGCAAGGGCGTGGTGGCCCCACTGACGCGCGAAGGCACCATTGTGGTGAACTCGGTGGCCGCCTCCTGCTACGCGGTGATCGACAGCCAATCGCTGGCGCACTGGGGCCTGGCGCCCATGCGCATCCTCGCCATGCTCCAGTCGTGGATGCCCGCCAAGGACCAGCTGCGCAGCTCACAGACGGAGGGCGTCGTGTCGCGGGCCGAGCAGCAGAACGGCATCCACTGGTATGCCAATGCCCTTTACAAGGTGAAGGATTACGTGCTGCCGAAGAGCTGGCGTCACGACTAACGCCAGAGAGAATCCCAGAGCGAATGATGCCGCTGCGATGCGGAAGCGATAATTGTATTATATTTTGTAGTTATGTATATGCCTAATGATTAATGTATTTCAATGTTGAATATGATTATTAACGATCGATACTATTTATTAACCACACATACACACACACACATATCCACACAAAGTTCATACAAAAAAGAAAAGAAAAGAAAAGAGCAAAAGAAAACAAAAATTTAAATGGAAAATGGAAAAGAAAAATACTGTTGAAAATGATGTCCTTGACTTTTTGTTTTTACCAACATCATAGCTATAAGTAGACAATCCTCGGCGCAGATCCTACAACGAAAAGATAGAATAGATCATCAAAACTACATTTATTGGCGATCGATGACCCCCGAACCCGAACCCGAACCCGAACCCGACCGTGAACCGTTGACCGTAGACGACTGTTATTTTGTATATTATAATGAAATTGAATCGGATAATTTATTGAAGTGCGGCAGCGAACTCTTAAGTAATGGATATACTCGTATATATCGTATTTGTATATAGAAGAAGCATTATAGTGACTGAATATTTTATTGTAATTGTGTATATAATACTTAAATAGTTAACTCCGTATTTATACTTAATATTTAATGAATTATAACGAAATTGTTTGATAAATCAAAAGTGTTTTCTTATTGATCGTCGTCTTCAGAGCTAGTTCCCTTCAAGCTTTAAGAATTTACAATGAGGTTCCTTTTAAAGTGGCTAAAATTCAAACAATTTTTAAATCTGAATCTGATGTTCCCGACCAAGATCGTTTAGGTTTTATCCATGATGTTGATTATTTCATGTTTTTATATCAACGTTCACGTTTTTATTCAATGAGCCGCAAAAGCAATTTATCTCGGCCTAAAATGTTTTCACTTAATGGTTTTTCTTGGACCATGGTGACCCATCATGGACACCTATCGTCGATGTTAACAAATCGCAGCAGAGCCACCTGTCGAAGATATCGATCTTAACGTAACGCATGAGAGACACCTGATTTCGTTTGTTAACGTCACATCAAGTTCTGTTTATCGCACTAAACTATCGGTATGTAGAGCTGTTAGATTTGAAAAAATTCAATTAAATTCTTAATATGAAAAATATATATTATTTTCTATCCCACAAAATATTATATTTATATGGAAATGGGGCGTCATACCTATGCACAGAACTTAACTATGCAGGAAAGGACCGTATATTGGTCACTATACTATACTTGTGTCTACCTGTCCCTCAGACTCTTAGATAAAATGCTAGTATCCGTTAATAGGTAACTAACAGCAGTATAGCAGCTATAAAACATTCGGATTAGCACTCTATCAGTTTAAATTCAATAAAGTTTGAGCCATATTTCATTGATATTTCGTCGTATCAAGAATAAATTCAAGAGTAAGTATTTCAATTTGAAAATATTTTTTTAATTTGACTCTTAAATTGCAACTTCTAGGTCTATACAACTATACACTTCAGTTCAGCATCTTCAACAGATATGCAGTCAACGCAGAAGCAAAGCAAAGTAAGTAAATATTTGATTTAAAATAGAAATCTATAATTTTTCCAATAAATGGTAACTCACAGGACCATCAATAACCATGACGAAACTATTGCCTATTCTGTTCGCCTGCTACATGCACCTCTTTTCGGGGAAGAAGGCTTATGAGAACCAAACCTATTTGGGCAGCCTTATATTCTTTCTGTCTATGATGGATCTGCTGTACGGCAACGAGATACTACCCAAGAAATATTGCCGTATGGGTCGGTTGTTCAAGGTAATGCTGGAGACATTCTTTGTCTGGATTATAAGTGAGATGACCATGAGGTTTTTCTGGACTAAGCTAGAGGGTTCTATAGATTTTGCTCTTCGTTTCATCACTGAGGCAGATGGCACTCGTTTCTTTCTTTTGGAGGTGATCACCGTGTCACTAGGTCTGTTGCACTGGGGGATGATCTCGGCAGTCACTCATCAGCAGTACGGTCTCTATAACTTTCTATTCCGTACTTGTTACAACAAAATTCGTGAACTCGTTCGCTGTTGAACAACCTGGGCCATCTAAAATTAAAGAAGAACTCAATCTAAATTGAATGTCTGGAAACTCTATTGCAAAAGTACAAGTTGCATTTATGTCAAAATGGTTTTTTTCAAAATAAAAGTATGTTCCCGCCAAATTCCTTCCATTTATCAAGCAGGTAAAAGCCCAAACCGCTTTTTACGCAAAATGCAATAAAAGCAAGTATTAAGAATACACCAGTTAAATAGAAAATGGATTCATCAATCGTATTAAATTATGATGGCATGGCTAAATGTTCTATATAGCTAGTAATATTCAACGGAATATCAAAAACGAGGAATATATAAAATAGAACTTGAGTTCTTCAGTATATTTACGGTATATTTTGAAAAAGAGACCGTATATTTCGGTGCTGTTCTGAGGGTCATACTGTAGAAACTGGTTTTCGCCGCGCTCCCAGGTGGTGTTTTTTAGTGCTAAATGGTATTTTTGTCATCTATTAATTTCATTTTCAATGGTATATCGAAATCCAATAAATGCAAGTATTTCGAATAGGCCAATCATGTAAAGAATTGATTCATCAATCGTATAAAATTGAGTGGGCATGGCTAAATGTTCCATATAGATAGTATTATTCAACGGAACAAAGAATTGGTCGTTTTTTGAATCGAATTTGATTTCGCCGCAGTTCGCCGCAATTCGCCGCAGTTTCGCTTTAGCAACAATGAGTCTCGTTCCATACACAATGTTGCGCATTCCATACACACTGTTGCAGCAACATTTACTTGAAAACCGTTTTTTGGTCAAAATAAAATACATTAAGGTAATTAAAAGAAGCAATCTTGTAAAAAATGTATTTATCTATGGGATAAAGCTAAGTGGGCATCTATAGCTTGAAATATAGGCAATACCCGATTCGCCGCAGTTTCGCTTTTGCAACAATGAGTCTCATTCCATACACCAACATGTTGCTAATTCCATGCACACATACCCTGGAGGAAATGCATGTTATGGAATTGTGAATACGTTTGTCTTCCAAGTATCAGGATCGACATAAATATATACAAGATACTAATAATGTACTTGAATATGTCTAAAGAATATCAATTTGAGAAAAGGTCTTAATTAATTACGTTTGATCTTCATATAAAATTAGCGAAATAGGGTGTACAAAGGGCTATACACGCATCACGTCTTCAAATACCAGCAACATTGCGACTCTTTTTTTGTTGAACTTTTTCGTTAAAATCCAATAAAAGCAAGGATTAGAAGCTATCCAGTCTTGTAGAAAATTGATTCATTAATCGTATAAAATTATGTGGGCATGGCTAAATGGGCTATATATATAGTAATATTCGACGGAATATCAAAAACGAGTAATATATAAAATATAACTTGAGATTTCAGTATATTTACGGTATATTTTCAAAATAAGACGGTATATTTTGATATATTTCTGGGGTCAGACCGTATATCTTATCAGTAAGGTCACACTGCTCACAAAACAACAAAAAACGCGCGAACGCAGCAGCACAAACAAAATCTGTCACAGTTTTTCGCAATATATATAGTTTTTCGCAATATAGTTTGTCTCAATAATACTAAGTAACGTCATGCTCTGTGAAGATCAACTAATGTCGGTGGACAACACACCAATCAAGGGCTCCGGCAGCCTGAATTCCTCAGCGTCCTCCATTTCCATAGATGTGAAGCCCATTCGGCAGAGTTGGGCCCAGGAGGTCCGTGCAGAGCTGGGGCACAGTGACGAGGTAGAAAGGACGCGTTGATCTTGGCTGAGACCACACCTAACCATCATATCCAACATTTTAGGCATCCACTTCGCTGAACAGCAGCGCTGGCAGTAGCAATGCCGACCATGGCCAGGTAATTGTGAAGAAGGAAGCGACAGAGATAAAGCTGGAGCTTGAGGATGGAGGTAACCGTGGGATGGCATTCGAGTTTCTGGATGATGTAAATGAGGTAAAATTTGACCGTCTGCTTAAGGAGGAAAAACTAAAGACCCCCTACAAACGACGCCACTCGCAGACGCCTCCGACGAATGAAAACAGTCGCTCCAACAGCCCGAACAGCAGCTTGTCATCCGGCAATGGTGATGCCAATCCCAAAAGCAAGCATAGCAAGTTGAAGGGGCACAAGGAGGAAAAACGCGTGCGCCACAACAGCTATACATCGTCGACGTCATCATCCTCCTCGTACACCGAGGCTGATCCAGCCGTATTGTCGCGTCGTCAGAAGCAGATCGATTACGGAAAAAACACGGCCGCCTATGAGCGTTACACTGAAATGGTGCCAAAGACCACACGTTCGCGTGAGGATCCTCGCACGCCAAACAAATATGGAAAGTACAGCCGCCGCGCGTTCGATGGCCTGGTCAAGATTTGGCGCAAGAGTTTGCATTTTTATGATCCGCCTACCCAACGCCGCGGCGATGGCGATTCCAATTCCGACTCTGATTCAGATTAGGAAAACAGCAGAGCAGAGCAGAAAAGGCTTTCGAGGGGTTAAATGTTTCAAAGGGGGTAATGTAATGATTACTACAAATAAGTACAAATTCTATAAATCTAACGCATTAAATTTACTATTACAAAGGCGTCGTGTACATGGAATTGTTACCACATATGTTTTGTTGAATAAAATGGCGTCTACATCTTCAAAATTGCTACCTGAAGAAATTGGGATTGCCTACCAAAAAAAGGACAGCACATTTTCTACAGGGAAGGGGAAATCGTGAACACACGTCGTGACCGGACCGGGGCTGTCCACTTGCTACTTGCCAAAATTTTAAATTTAACAATACCAATTATATATTTAGCTCAATCCACACTTTGATTTAATGTACTATGAATATGTAAAGGAATATTCTTATATTTCCTTATTACCGCTTTGCTTTTGAGGGAAAAGCTAGATCTAACTGAAAAGACGCCAGGTCGGGCAACACTGCTCGCGAGTTGTTTGTGTGCTCATTTCGTAGCATGTGTTTTGGTTTGAATTATTTCATTCCTTGCGAAATTTTACACAGTGCAGATGTTTCTAAAGCCATACAGACCCAAGAGCAGTGCGGCCCTAAAGGGTTCGGAGAGCAAGAAGTTCCGACAGCGCCTGGAGTTGGCCTTTCCCAATATTTCCGTGGATCAGCTGGTGCCGGCAAAGGCTGCTGTCACGCACGTAAAGATTCTCACCCATGGCGGTGTCCAGAGCATTGTCTACTGCGTGGACAGGCAGCCCATGTTCTTTGAGCTGGATGGCGGACAGCTAGTGCCCACATTATACGCAATGTGGATCATACCCAGCATTTTGCCTTATTACACGACCCACGAAGGCGTCCTGCCAAAACTCACCAATGGCGCCGACCTGATGCTGCCGGGAGTGGTTCCACTGGGCGTTGGATTGAGCATGTACGGACACTACAAGAAGGGGCAGTTGAGTGGGTTACTGGCACCGTCGTCTGTTAAAGCTCCCTAATAACCTTTTCTGTATTGCAGTGGCCGTAAATCTAACCAACAACAAGTCGGCGGTGGGTGTGGGACAGTTGGCCCGTTCCAGTGATGACCTGTACATGTGCGGTGGCCATGGAGTGGCCGTCAAAATGTTGCATTTATTCGGCGACAAACTCTGGGCCCATGAACCCAGTTTGGTGCAACAAATACCGCTGGTGAGGACCAAAGCCCTGTCGACCGATGATTTTCCTGCCCTCGGCGCTGAGGCGGAACGAAAGAAGACACCAAAGGCAGAAGTTTCGGAGGCGCCTGCAGCTCCAGACACCTTTGCATCTGTGACACAGGCAACGGACGGAGAGGAGCTAGAGTCCGGCACCGCTTTATTGTCTCTGGCTGAGGAAGATGACCACGATCACGCGGACACAGCGCCGGCAGCAGAATCTAATGAAGTGACGCCCGAGTATATACTAAGAAACGCCTTTCTGTCTGCACTGAAGAACAATGGAAAGAAATTGCCACTGCCCCTGCTGACCAGCAACTTTTACCGACTCTACGTGGTGAATGAGGCGGCCGAACAGATCGATCTGAAGAAGACGCGCTACAAGAAACTGTCCAACTTCCTGGCCGATATGGTTGACCAGGGCTTCATTGTTGTGCGAGAGGAGAGCAAAGGCGTGGATAAGATTATTTCGGTGGATCTGGAGCACCCCGAGCTGGTCAATTTCATAACAGATGTGAAGGAAAACGAAGCGAACGGAGCTGCGTCCGAGACGCCCCTGTTTCACTCGGAACTGAAGGAAATGTACATAGTGTCGGATGTCACGGCGGCCTTCTTCACGAAAATGAACTTCAAACGCGGCGAGGGCATCCCTGTGGGTCAGGTCAAAAAGATTGTGCGCGAGTATGTGGCCAAGCACGGACTGCAAGATGTGAAAACCAAGCTGGTGCGGCCGGATGAGACACTGCAGGAGCTGTATGGCAATCGGGAGGGCACGCTCAGCGAGGTCTGCTCCCTCATAACCAGCAAAATGGAGCACTCATATCAGATGTGTAGCGGCAAGGACACGAGTGGCAAGCCCATGATACAGATGTCACTGGCCACGCGCTCCGGCAACAAGAAGGTGACGCTGGTGAGCAACATCGAGGCCTACGGCATCATCCTGGCCGAATTCATAAAACTGTGCAAGCAGGGAGCCGCTGCCAGCACCAGTATTGTCAAGTTGCCGCATCAGAAGCTCGAGCAGCTGCAGATCCAGGGCAACCAGGTGCGTTTTGTGTACACGCTACTCACGGAAACATACAAGGTGCCTCCCAAGTGCATATTGGGTCTGGAGCTGGCAAAAGATGGCAAAAAGAACAAGAAGAAGTGATGTCTGACAATAAATAACGCGTATGCCGCCGTTGGAGCCCACGTGGTTGTGTTACAATAAATTATTTATTAACTGTAGTGTGGGGGAGATGAACCATTTTAACTGCTACGAGAACAACAACAACGATTATGGTTATCATGAACTAAAGCGTTGTCAGAGCATCGTCTGATAGAGCCGGATCTGTGTGGTTTTTGGTTTACTTGGCCTTGCCCTGGGCAGCGACAGCCTCGATGGCCTTCTTGACGGTCTCCTCATCGCCGAGGAACTGCATGGACACCACTGGCTTGAAGTTCTCGTCCAGCTCATAGACGAATGGTATGCCAGTGGGCAAGTTCAGGGCCATAATGGCGTCCTCAGACAGATCTGGAATGATAAGGGGAATCGTTTTTTACTCATTCAATTTCAAGTATATGTCGAAACTCACTATCTAAATGCTTGACGATGCCACGGAGACTGTTGCCGTGCGCTGCGATCAGGATGCGCTTGCCCTCTTTCATCTGGGGAATGATCACTTCGTTCCAGTATGGCAGTGTGCGTTCGATGGTCAGTTTGAGCGACTCAAACTGGGGGAACTCCTCGGGCTTGGGCCCATCGGCGTAGCGGGGATCCTTGACAATGTTGTCATAGTAGGCGTGTCCGGGCTCCATTGGTGGTGGCGGTGTGTCGAAGCTGCGGCGCCAGATCTGCACCTGAGCCTCGCCGTACTTGGCGGCAGTCTCCGCCTTGTTCAGGCCAGTGAGTCCACCGTAGTGACGCTCATTCAGACGCCAGGTCTTCTGGATGGGGATCTCCTTGTGGCCGCTGGCCTGCAGAATGCTTGCCAGGGTAACCTGAGCGCGAGTCAGCACCGAAGTGTGGGCCACATCGAACTCCAGACCAGCGTCCTTCACGGCCTTGCCAGCGGCCTGAGCCTCCTCCTTGCCTGTCAATCAATTAAAATTAAGTATACGCCATGTTGGATAACTAAAAGCGCCTTACCCTTGTCGCTCAGATTGGCATCGTACCAGCCGCAGAACTGATTCTTCTGGTTCCATTCGGACTCGCCGTGGCGGACCATCACAATCTTGTACTTTCCACCCATATTTGCTGATCGGAGTAGGTTGCGAAAAATTGTGTATACCTTTCGGGGCTGCTTATAACACAGCACTGTCGCTTTTCTTTCAATTTGCTCAAATATGACCTACAAGGGGCCTCCTCAAGGTCGGACTTGTCAAACGCGGCACCCGGTTGCATTTTAGTGGGTGGATTTCGCGGGTTGGCAGCGCACGCCGCGCAACAAGTTGGCAGCCACGTTTTGTGTGTGTTATCAACGACTGTGCCATCTCTAGCTGTGTTTTGATTGCAAAGAAACGCTTTTTTGTTACATTTTGACGAAAGAATAATTAGTTTTCTCGTTAGTTTTCAATTAAATCATGTCCGTCCCGGTAACTGCACGTTGCAGCTGGACCCAGAGCGCTGGAAATGAGCTGTCCCAACTGGTGCCCACACTCCTGTCCGATGATGATGTGTTTGTAAAGTAAGACAAAGGATTTCACGCCCCACAAAACTGGTTTACATATTCAATTATTGTACATACAAGTATTCCTTTGTCCACAGGCCCGACCTAGATGACGTGGTCAATGAGAATCTCGCTGTCCTGTTTTCCAACAATGATGTGCCGCCACCGCCCTGCGAGCTGCATTTTGAAATAGTTCCTCGTTTCAAAATCGCCGCCCTCACGCTCGTCTGCAGCGCGCCCAAGGTGGAACTATTTTTAGGCCCATTGCAGGAGTACTACGAAACTATCTATGGCATTTGCCTCGAGGAAGATGACGACGAAGTGCCGATACGCCCCTACCGCTATGATATGGAAATTGATCGCTCCGGCATTGCGGTTATAAATCTCAAATTGCTGACATCGGCCAACGAAATCTGCGTTTATGGAGCCATCCTGCATGTAGCGCCGAATCCGAATGGCATTACCACACAGCTGCAGCGACCTGTGGACTTGCAAAAAGTCCAGGAACTGCTCCAAAAAGATGGCACTGGCGATAGAAAATCCAAGGCAGAGGAACGCGGCGAGAAGCTGCAGCAGTTTATGTCCCTCATGAAGGGCTGTACGACGCCGGCGGAGACGCCATCTACAGTCAAAGCGGAGGATGTCGGGGAGAAACCACCGCCGGAGCTTATGTCCCTGATAAAGGGTTGCACCACGCATGGCGAGACACCACCCCAGAGTGTAGCTTCAGATTTATCCAGCCTCCAGTCGCACATTGACAAGAAATTCGAGCAGCTAGAGCAACTGGTGACGAAAAGACTGGAAGCGTTTGAGGTTCAGCAAACGGATAAATTGAACCAAATTATTGAACTACTGCAAAGTAGGAACTGACATCTCGAATCTATACCCAAATGTATTCATCTATTGTTTTTCTTGTAAGTCATATCATACCTATATGTATTTGTATTTTTCTGACCGCCCTATGATTATTGGTGCAACTGTTTCGAATGTGATTAAACGAAACTTTAATTTCCATGACTAAATTGACTTTGATTCGCTAGTGATTGTCAAAGAGTGGTTAGTGGCTTGCTGTTCTTCCCCCTGAGCTGAAGTTTTCGCTACTGTGGATGCGAAAGCGGCTACGGCTCGTCAAGAGGTCAAAGTGTTGCTCATAGAAAGAGTTTGCCCGACAGTATATTACATAGAAATAGTACTTTGTATTATCGTTCAACCGCCATACGCGTTCCACATGCAGCACATTGGCACTTCGACTCCATTATTGTGTGCAGATTATCTGTTTCCAAGTGTCTGGACTACAATTTACTTTTGTTTTATTTTGTTTACAACTTTTATTTTACTTCTTATCTGCAGTGGCGGGTATCAGCTGTTCTAGAGATGGTCGCTGGACTACGGATAACCACCTGTTTGCCTTTGTTCAGACACTAGCCATATCGTATAGAGATGTGCCAGTTCATACACCGAATATATCGTAAACGAACGTTCTGGATTAGATCCCAGGGTCTTCAACTCGTATACGTGCTTGCCATCATTTGTCTATTTCACGATTTCTGATGCGATTGAAAAGATAATAAACATATACAGACACATGCATACTTTCAGGTTCTGTCTCTTAGGCCGTATCTGGGATCTAATCCACAAAGTTCGCTTGCGACATGTTCGTTGTATGAACTGAATGCACATCTCTATACTGTTTGGTTAGTGGTTCTGGGTTGGCTTACAAGTTCATCATAATGACCAAGATCAACAACAGTCAAGGCCAACCGGTACCTTAATGTTCACTGGCTTATTTCTAGTTTCGCTTTGATAGCATAAAGATGCAAATAAGTCCTCGGTGTGCATTGGCCATTGGCGGCGTTCTAGTGGGCTGCTGCAGTGGCGGAGTCTTTCTGGAGCTGTTGGTAAAACTCGATCCCGGCATTGGAAACCTCGTGACCGCGGCGCAGTTTGCATTTATAGCCCTGGAGGGGCTCATCTTTACATCCCGGCTGGGACAGGCTCAGCGTAAGATCAGCCTGCGGGACTATGCCCTTCTGGTGGCCATGTTCTTTCTGACGAGTGTGTGCAATAACTATGTGTTCGAGTTCAAAGTGTCCATGACTCTGCACATGATCATACGTGGAGGCTCCCTCATATCCAACATGTGCTTGGGCACAATTATACTCAAGAAAAGGTATCGGTTGCGCCAGTACATATCGGTGGTCATGATTAGCTTGGGTATCTTCATTTGCACGTACTTCTCCAGCCGGGATTTGCCTGGCCACAGCAACGGGGAGACCGGCGCCACCGAGGCAGACGTATGGCGGTGGCTTGTGGGCGTGGCGCTGCTGGTTCTGGCCCTTTTCGTCTCTTCGTACATGGGCATCACCCAGGAGCTGCTCTATCGGCGGCATGGAAAATGTGCCCGCGAAGCCCTCTACTACACCCACCTGTTGCCACTGCCCGCCTTCCTTTTAATGCACGACAACATACGGACCCACTGGCGGCTGGCTTGCGAGGGTGAGACGTACACACTGCCTCTGCTGGGCGTGGCGGTGCCACTGATTCTGCTCTATCTGCTGGGCAACGTTCTCACGCAGCACCTGTGCATTAGTTCTGTGTATGCTTTGACCACCGAGTGCAGCTCCCTCACCGTAACACTGATCATAACCCTGCGCAAGTTCATTTCCCTGGTATTTTCGATCGTTTACTTCCGCAATCCCTTTACGATCTACCACTGGCTGGGCTCCGTGATGGTCTTTGTGGGTACCCTTATGTTTGCCGATGTCCCAAGGCTGCCAGGGAGCCGGAGGGCTGAACCTTTGAAACGCGACTGATGAGTGACGATTGATCTGGTTGCGATTTGCATTCCAATTAACAATCCATTTGCATTCCATTTAATTCGATTTACATTTAAGTACAAGTACGGGTAGATATGGGTAGGAATTACAAATTATAAATTACAAGGCTCTCATAATTGTAATGAAATAATAATAATAATGAACAAAGTACGAGCATACATTAAAAAGTACAAGAAAACATCGATACGATACGAGGCAAGCGCTTCAGCTTCAGCATTGGACGGACGGTGGCCGTCGCTTTTTTCTTTTTTATCTGTCTGCCAAAGGCCAAAGGCCTTCTTTGGCGAAACTCAAACATTAAAACACTCGATACACGAGTATATATAAATACTAAATATAAATGCATTGGTTGCCCAAGACACGAACTTAAAGGTAAATGGTACTCGTAATGCAGTTGCAGTTGCAAAATGTATTCTAATACTGCTGCAGCATTGATCCAGCCAAGGCCGCCCGATCGTGCTTACGTTTCTTGGGCCTCGAGCTTCAGCCACTCGACAATCGACTTGTAATTGCGGTTCATCCAGTCCACGCTGGTCTCCACCTGTTCGACGATCTGCTGGATGGGCCTGTCGTAGTCCCAGTGGGCATCCTTCACAAACTCCTCGAATTCGGCCAACTGGAACTTGGAATTCATGCGCTTCGTGGCAAACTTCAGCAATGTGTGTATGTTGGATATCTGCGATCCCATGCTGGAAAGAAAAATCAG